ACTTTGCAGATCGTTAAATTGGCCAATAAGAATGCAAGATCGTGATCAAAAAATTATTTTGTGTTACTACTAAAGAACACTTTGATCGTTTAAGGGATAACAGATTATGAAAGAGCGAGTCGAATAGTATATATTTCGATTATTAATAATCACGTTAATTCGTTTGCTACATATGAGTTGATCGATGAATGAGGCTGAAATTGATTTCCAAATTTGGTAAAATCCCTGACTGTAATCAGCCCATGCGGACAATTTCCGAAAGGTTACACTTTTATCCCTCAGCTCGTAGGGATAGAGCCCCAGCCTGGGAAAACATATAAGAGGGATATCCCCCCTTATCAATCTTATCAATCTTTGATATCGGTCGGATAATTCACTCAAGATCTATGGACCAGGTGATCAGATATATATCCGTGCATTTAGGGATAAAGGTCAGACCTACCCGAAAATCGTCCGCATATGGTGGACTGTAATAGTAGGGAAAGGTCTTAGCATCAAAAACATGATTTATTTTTTTGGTGTTATACTTCCATTTTGGAGGATTTGAAGGATCTACATGACCAATAAAAAGTTGCGGGACTAAGTGACTTGCACTATACACTGATTAATTTTATTCATAAAGCTTTTTTAAATTTTTTTGTTATTCAAAAAAAAATTTTCCGTAATTTATAATATTGGCAATGGTATGGTCGTTAATTTATAATCAAAATGTTAAAATAAAATTGAAAATTGTACAAATGTAATTAGTAAATGTGATGTAATAATAAATAAATAATGATGATTCTTTAAAAAATGGTTTAAACTTATATATGAGTGAATAAATAAGTGAATATGTGAGTGAATGATATTAATATATACATATTATTGAAGAGTATCTAATTTCATTCTATATTCATTCCAAGCCCACCATTCTTGTGTCCAGCCTTTAGCCCATACAACTCCAAGATATACAGGATTATTTTCTTCTATCTTATCATTATTATTGCTATCATCATTAGCACCATTATTATTTTGATGATCTTCTACTTCTCCAACATTATCTTCTTCAATTGATTCAGTATTATGCTCCACAACATCAGAATTCACAACAACATCAACATCATTACTATTATTACTATTATTGCCAGCAATCTCATTATTATTATCATCATTATAACCATTAACATTATTAGATTTGTTGGATTTTTGTGGATTATCTAATCTGAAAACAAATTCTTGAGCATAAATCATTAAATGTTCACCGCCAGAAGATCTAAACATATCTTCTAGAGCCTTCATTCTAGAATTATGAGTTCCAATCAGAGATGCTAAATCTACACCAGTAACTTGCACACCATCGATTTCCAATCGTATCCTATTCAATGTATCACTCATATTCCAATTTGTACTCAAATGCCGTGACAACTCAATTGCTGAATCTTTACCATAAATTTCACCCAAAGTTTTTAAAGCTTTTTCATCTTGTTCATTTAGGAATTTTGTTCTAAAACACAAACTACTATCTGAAGCATCCAATTCAATAGTTAGCACAGCACCAGTAAAAAATTCAACAGCCAAATTGTTATTACCATCCTCCAGTTTTGATTTAATAAAATCTTTATGAATCGGTACATCACGCAATGACAAAAGAATTTTATCGGCTGAGGTGAATGGATCTTTATAACGTAGTGGCGAAGGTGTTTCTGCTTGTAATAATTGAGCAAGTTTTTCTAACCCATAAAATCTTGCATCTTCTAATAAATTTTCACGAAATAAATCAAGTGAGATTCCTGGTGGTAGATTAACAGAGGAAAGTGGAAATATATTATAACCTCTAAGATATCTCAAAATAATTTCAAATAATTTAGGATCTCTATCAAGAATAACCTCATTATCTGAAGCAGTATTATTAATATTACTATAAATTACTTTATTGCTATTATTGGCTTTTGTAGTAGTAGCAAAACTAGAATTATTATTATCAATAATCAAAGATTTTTGATCAATTTCGTTTTTTTCTAATGAAGGCGCCACCCTTCCACTTAAATTACTCGACTTTTGTTGCTCTTCCACATTATTAATAAAATCTTCTCCAAGAAAAGCCTGAGTGAAAAAATTAGGGGAATCAAAAGTAATCGATGAACGATAAAGACAAAAGGTTTGTTCGCCTACATGTACAATGTATGAATTCATGATTGGACTTTTTAAATTATTATGACTTGGAGACATTTTTAAATATATTTATATTTAATGAGTTGATGTAACGATGTGTGTATGAATGTGTATTACGTGTAGGTTTAGGATATTTTGGTAATAATTAGTTAGCAATAAGATAAGAATAAGAATATGTTTTTTTCCTTGGATAAATTTTTTTTTGGAGCAAAAAAAAAGCCGAGTCAAGTAGTACAAAAAACTTCTCTCGATATAACATTCTCTTTCTAGACTAATGATAATATTATTAATATATAGTAGATTTGTCTGGAAATTCATAGTTAGTAAAAATAAATAAAACGTGACCAAAAATTCACCAATTATCTTTTATTTAAAATATCTTTTCTAAGCTTCAAAAAATACCATCGGTTGTTGGGGTATTCAATATTGGTTGATCGACAAATCTATGGTTGCTGACTCGGTTTAAAGACCTCCTAATGCTGCGCCATGCGACCAAATTCAAAAAATACAGTGCGGATCACCTATACTCAAAAGTTAAAATTTTTGAAATATTATGTGATCCACACACTGGATTTTAAAAAACCCACCACCATTCAATTCAGCTTTAAAAGGGAGTCTATTAATCTAAAAAAATTTTGTTTCAAATTTTTTTTCCATAAATTTTTTAAATTTGAAAGTTTGCTCAGAAATACAACAATAATTTTCGGGTTATAATATTTTGAATCTCACGACCAAATTTGGTAATGATTTTCTTTTAATGTAATATGCTCGTTAAACTTTTTGTTGTAAGGTGCGTATCACCTATACTCATCAAAAAATGCCGATCAGTCCGAATTTTTGAATGCATATCTTAACCTTATTTGGTCAAAAAATTAAAAAAATATCATCACATGGGTTTTTAACAGTGTAAAAGCTAATTTTACTCATAATAAAGAATACAATCAATTAATTCTAATTTTGTT